TTATTGTCCCCCACCCCTCAGTCCTGGCACAGAGGAGCCTGGTGGGCGTCAAAGGGATTTGTGGGGGGGTTTATTGTCCCCCACCCCTCACTCCTAATGCCCAGAGCAGCCCCCCGAGTGCCCCCCATGTGCCCCTCAGTCCTGGGGCACAGAGGAGCCTGGTGGGTATCACTGTGGTTTGGGGGCTTTATTGACCCCCACCCCTCAGTCCTGGGGCACAGAGGAGCCCGGTGGGTGTCACGGTGGTTTTGGGGGGTTTATTGACCCCCACCCCTCACTCCCGGCGCCCCCCCCGTGCCCCTCAGTCCCTCCCCATCCTCTTCACGGCCGGGTTGGGGTACTCGGGGTTCTCCACGGCGCCGGGCCCGAACTTGAGCTCGAGGAAGGCGCGGGCGTTGTTGGGCGCCATGGCCGTGAAGCCGGCGAAGGCCACGGGCACCAGGGGCCGCAGGAAGCTCTCGGGGAACTCCACGTCCTGCGGGTGCCCCAGCCACGTGTCCTTGGTCATGGTCCCGCCGCGGGCGTAGAAGGGCCACAGGTCCACGTGCAGCCGGTTGACGCGGCTGTAGTGCACCCGGTAAAACTCCCCCTCGGCCGCCTTCTCCCACAGGAAGCCCTGAGGGTCCTCCACCGGCCTCCCCTGGGCCTCCACGGCCGCCAGCCAGCGGCACTTGCCGGCGTCCTCCCGGTAGATGCCCAGGTCCACGTCGTAGTCCCAGGGGATGATGTCCCCGAGGCGGGCGGCGCCCAGTAAAGACCCACCTTCCAACCAGTACCTCACCCCGGCGGCCTCCAGCTCGCGGGCCACGTGCCGGGCGGTCTCCCTGAGCGCCCGCAGGCAGCAGGGCGGCGTCCAGCGCCCTTCCAGCAGGTACCGGGGCGTGCCCGCCTGCACGGTGCCGAAGCAGCGCGGCGTGTCCTTGGCGCAGCCGTGCCAGCGCCGGCGCCCGTCCGCCAGCACCTCCAGCTTGACGCCGACATCCCGGAGAAGCTGGCGCCGGTGGGATTCTTCCAGCCCCTCGGCCTTCCAGCGGCCGTGCGGCGAGGGCGGCGGGCGGCGGGCGGCGGGGAAGGCGGCGCCGGGCAGGAGGCGCAGGCGCCAGCCGCGGAGGGCGGCCTGGAGGGCGAGGGCGGCGGGCGCCGGGCGCGCCAGCGGGAAGGGCAGGGCGAAGAGGTCGCGGGTGCGCAGCAGGAGGACGGCGGGGGGGCCCTCCAGCGCCGAGCAGGCACCACCCTGAGCGTTGGCAGCGTTGGCATCGCTGTATTGTGCCGTCCATGTCTTCAAGTCAACGCTCAGCGCCAGGCACCGCGGCGCCCGCGCGCCCACCGCCGCGGCCACCACACGGGTGTTGTTGTCACCACCGGCCTCCAGCGCGTCCCTCATGCGCTCCAGCAACCCCGGCACGGCCCGGGCGCCGTCGGGCACCAGCGCCACGTGCCGGGTGCGCACAACCAGCTCGGGGCGAGGCGGCGGCGGGCGGTCGGGCCGCTGCGGGCGCAGGGGCAGGAGGGCGGCGCCGGCGGGCAGCGGCACCGGCGGGTAGGGCGGCGACTCGGCCGCCACCAGGACGGGCACGGGCAGGGCGGCGAAGGAGCGGGCGGTGCCCACCAGGTCGTTGTCGAAGTCCTCGAAGTCGCGCAGCAGGACGGTGACGCCGGGGACGCCGCGGGAGGGGCGGCACGGGGAGGGGGGTGTTGGCAAAGGGGGGCCGTGCCAGGCGCAGTAGAGGAGGAGGAGGTTGAGGGCGATGCCCGCGGCCAGGGCGGCCTGGCACGGGGTCACCCGCATGGCGTGGGGGGTGGTGATTAGTTCTTTTAGTTAATTAGTTAGTCCTTTGGGTTGACTGAGGGGAGGTCCTTCCTGCTCAGGTGGGTGCTGGTGGTGCTGGCACAAGTGTCACGAGTTTGGGGGTCTCGGAGAGTTGGGGGGTCTCGGAGGGTCGGCGGCGGCGCTGGAGGGGAACGAGGGGTTAATGAGGGGGTTCATTAATGAGGGGGCTCGTTAATGAAGGGACACCCCCAGCTTTTATAGACCCCAAAACCCCCCCACCCCCCCCACCCCCCCCACCCCCCCCCCCCCCCCCCAACCCCCCCAACCCCCCTATCCCCCCAAATCCCCCATAGCCCCTATAGACCCCAAATCCCCCATAGCCCTTATAGACCCCAAATCCTCCTAAAGCCCCCAAACCCCCCATAGTCCTTATAGACCCCAAATCCCCCATAGCCCCCAAGCCCCCTATAGCCCCCATAACCCATATAACCCCCCAAATCCCCCATAGCCCCCAAATCCCCCTATAACCCCATAACCCATATAACCCCCAAATCCCCCTATCCACCCCAAACCCCCCTATAGCCCCCCC